TAAGACCGAACCGAAAATCGAATTTCCGTCGGACGACGACGAGGAAGACAAATCGAAAACGCTGAAAGGCGGACCAATAGCAACGCGGGACGCGAACGCGAAACGCGACAACGCAAAATCGGGTGCCAAGCACATATCCGTTATACGAACGCAACATGTCAACGCCGATGGAGAGGGAATCTCATCGATGAAGATAACTGACGTCGTATCGGGAAGATCGGAGGAAGTGGAATGGAGAAGCGACGCTCAGCCAATGAGATGTCAGATCGCGGGAGACGAGCGCAACAGCCGTACTTTCGACCAAAACGACGAGACACTCACCAACGACAATGCGATTCGTCAATCGAAAAAATACAAGGTCAACGAACCGACAGCCAATCAAAAGAAAGAACGAGAAGAAATTGAGAAAGGTCACGTGAGACACGTCAACATCGTGCGAACCAATGAGATTATTCGAGATTTGGATGAAGAGATGCTGCAAGAGCAGAATAAAAATATAAGGAGTAAAAATTCCGTTTATTAAAATTGAGTTTCAAGACGTAGCGGTGACGGCATTGGTGGATACGGGATCCCAATTGTCGATCATATCGTACGCCGTATACGATGAATTGAAGAACAAAGGATTGATATTAGACGTCCTACCAATCAGAAAATTTCTTTTGAAAGGAGCATTTCAGGAAAAAGGAGAAGTGGTGGCGAACAAAGCGCGAATTAAATTTCGATACAACGACCAATCGTACACACACGAGTTCCACATCGTTAGAAAGATTTGTTACGAAGTCATCTTGGGAAGAGATTTCCAAATTAAAAACAAGATGTCGATGAATTTCGATGGGAAGCCTCGCGTATTATTTACCAATGAGGAAGAAGAAGCTGAGGTGACGAGAAGGATCGCACCAATCACAGCGGAGATGACGGAAGAAGAAGCTGAAGAAAAATTAAGAGAACTCATTGACCAATACGAGGACATTTTTGATGGAACGATCGGGTGCGTTAACCATTACGTACACGACATTGATTGTAAGGCGACAAACGCATTCAAGAAGAAATCTTATCCGATACCGGAGAAACATTTACCGAGAGTACGCGAATACATGAAGGAATTGGAGGATAAAGGAATAATTGAAAAAGCAGCGACTCAATATATTAACCCACTAGTAGTGGTGATCAAGAAGGACGGAAGCATCAGATTGTGCTTAGATGCGAGGGAGATAAATAAAAGAATGGCCAACGACCATGCACAACCACCAACCATTGAAGAGGTGTTCAGAAGAGTCGGAAGAAAGAAATATTTCACAACGCTGGATATTTCGCAAGCATTTTGGCAAATTCCACTGACCCCGGAAGCCATGCAGTATTGTGGATTTATGTTTGACGGACAGACGTACATATTCAAGAGGATGCCGTTTGGTATTAAGACAGCAGGTGCAGCGTTTACAAGAGCGATGAGAGAAGCCTTGGGAGACGACTGTTTCGACTTTGAGATAGTTTACCTGGATGACGTAATGATAGCGTCGAAAACATTGGAGGAGCACATTCAACATCTGAAGACAATCTTCGAACGTCTCAGAAAAGTAAGATTTAAACTGAATCTGAAAAAATGCGAATTTATGAAGAAGGAAATCAAATTTTTAGGTCATACTTTTACCGAGATACAAGCAGAGATGAACGATGATACGCGTTTAGCGATAATGAATTTCAAGAGACCACAAAATAAGAAAGACGTACAAAGATTCCTAGGACTGATAAACTGGGACAGAAGATTCATAGAGAATTTAGCGAGAATGACGAGAGTATTGGAGCAGTTGCTAAAAAAAGGAGTCCAGTTTGCCTGGGAGCGCGAGCAACAAGCGGCGTTCAACGAGATAAAAAGGGCGTTTCAAGAAGCTCCTAGCCTGTTTCTAATACGACCGGATATGAAATTCGGAATAAACGTGGACGCAGCGAGAAGCGGATTGGGTGCGAGATTGTACCAATACCGTGACGGAGAAGAAGCGAAATACACGATCGCATATTTGAGCAGAAGTTTGAAGGGCGCGGAAACGCGTTATACGATAACAGAATTGGAATGCCTAGCATTGGTATTTGCCCTGAGAAAGTGGCATACTTTGTTAATGGGAAGACACGTGAGAGTTCACACTGACCACAAAGCTCTACAATTTTTGAGCACGTGCGTACAAAACAATCATCGCATAGCGAGATGGTTCGAATTCATGCAAGAATTTGACCTCGAGATAGTACATATACCGGGAAAGGAGAACAAGATAGCGGATACTTTATCGAGATCCAATGAGGACGAAGATGCGGAAGAGGACAACGTCAGAAGAATAGCGTTGATCAGAGATCACTATGATGGAGCCAACACGGAAGAATGGATACCGTGGTTGCAGAGGATACAGAGACAAGACGAAGAATTGCAAATGGCGGTTAGAGACAATCCAGAAAAAGTCTACATGAGAGACGGGTTGATCAGAGTCAAGTGCGACGATACTGACCGAGTGGCGGTACCAGAGAAAAACACATGGGGATTGATATCCAAAATACACCGTTTACTGATACATTTCAGTACGGACAAAGTGATAGCACACGGAAAAATACTTTCATGCGTTCAAAGTAGGAAGAATTGCGAAAGACGTAGTAGCGTCATGCAAGATATGTCAGATGACCAAGTATTATACCAGACCAACGGTGGGAAGACAATATTACGACTTGCCTGAAGAACCAATGAAAACGGTTTCTTTAGACTTGTTCGGTCCGTTACCAAGGACGCGACAAGGATTCAAATACATCCTAGTGTTGATGGATCAATTTTCGAAACTTACGAAATTGTACCCAATCAAAGATCAGAAATTCGACACGATAGTCGACACGCTAGAATCGAAATATTTCAGAGAGATTGGAATTCCGGAGGAGATTTTAACAGATAACGGAGGCCAATTTATAACGTCGAGGTGGCGAAACTTTGCCACGAATCATGGAATTACCACGAGAAAAACCTCACCTTATAACCCACAGTCGAATCCGGTGGAGAGAGTGATGCGCGAACTGGGACGCGTGATCAGAGCCTACGCGAGCGAAAGGCAACACACGTGGTGGAGAATCATCAATAGAGCGGAAGACGTTATAAACAACACCGTTCATTCGTCAACGGGATTTACCCCGAACGAGATACACTTTAATGTGAAAACACATTGGCACGTTTGCGACGAATTGCGACCGATGCCTACAGAACGAAACAAAGAAGATAGAGAACAACGAATAAGATGGGCAAAAGAAAAGTTAGCCAGTCAGGCGAGAAAAAGAAGGATACAGGCGGAGAAGCACGAAGTGACGTCTAGACTACAACCGGGTGACGGCGTAATGGTCAAATTGCACCGAAGATCGGACGCGAACAGAAGATTGACTCGCAAGATTCACCTAGTCTACGACGGTCCATATCGCATGGCGCGAGAAGTGCGCGAAAACGCTTATCTGATAGAGAGTTTGGACGGACATCCAAAAGGAGTCTACAACTCACGGCAATTGAGACCGTACAAAAGACCAATCCTGAGAGGGGATAACGATAACAGCGACGGGGAAGGCAACAATTCGCAACAGAAAAACGACGATTCGTCAAACGAAGATAACGATTCGCAGAGAAAAGAATTAGATGAATATGACAATCAAGAAGACAAAATAGAAGTTTGTGTAATGACGATGCACGAATTGACATCATCAGAAGAGGATAACGCCAACTCGGACTGCGATTGGTCGAAAAAGACTGAGACAGCCGAGGAGTACGATGAACGAGAAGATTCAACCAATAGTGTTCCTATTGGTGCCAGCTTTGAAGATTTAACTAAGAAACAAGATAATTCTGCCGAAAAACAACGTAAAACTAAAATATTAAGGCCAAAAACCAAGGATGCCGAGGAGAAGGTCGAAGATGCCGAGGAGCATACCGACCGACCAATCACATCACAGGAAGATGAAAAAAGTGAAATTACCGAGGAAAACAACTCGAGAAGAACGATTATAGGGAGAAATGCCGAGGAGCAAACGAAACCAGCCGATAGGTCTGTAACGGCCTGACTTTATCGAACGCGGACTGGCGTGCGGGATCAGGAGTCCGATGAAAGGCCCAGAGACAATAATTGATTTAGTGGTACATGCAGTAGTTTATTCAGCAAATTACATATACGTGGTATTCTATATAGCGCCGGGACGGGTGGAACGCGATATATACAACGAAGGGGCAGTGCGGGTGCACTCGGTAACGGACGCGGTAGCACGCTATTCGACGGACTCGGTAGTATTTGATATAGCGCAGGGACGGACAGAACGCGGTATATACAACGGAGAAGTAGTGCGGGTGCACTTGATAACGGACGCGGTATCGTTACTCGACGGGCTCGGTATATTACATGGACGTATTACAGTACATAGGCGGATGCCGCGGTAATATGCGTGCGGGACGCGTAATCGTAGGGTGGAAGATTTCCGGAGCCCCGGGGCGGCGGCAGCGAGAGCCCTCGTTGCGAGGCCGAGCGCGCTCGACCCCGCGTAACCGTGCCTTCGGGGTGAGTTCTGAGGGAGTGCGGGAACACCTGAGAGCTCTCAGTCGAGGCTCGGAGCACCGGACCTCGTTGGCGTGTTCCCTAGGAGTCGGGACTAGGTTTCGTCTTGGAAGCGGATCTTTAGACGAAGTCTCTTTTCTCGCCGGAACGGCGGTTTATATACCCGCCCAGCGCGGCGGGTTCGCTAGGAGCGCCGATCGTCGCGCTGTGGTGGGGCGGCGCGGCGCCGCGCTCGTCCTCGGGGCGGCTCGGCTCCCGTCGTCGCTCGTCGGGAGGCACCGGTGCCGCGCTTGGCCCGCGCACACGGTGCGTTTTGAATTACGTTTAAAATGTGGGCGCACCGCGCCCTGGTCTTCGCCCGACTGGTTGTCGGTCGGGCGGCATCCGGCGGTTGTTAGCCGGGAACGATGCTTAGCGCACGGGGTGCATCGTTACAGGTCAAAAATGGATAATCAACCAATCAGAGCGAGGATAGTCGAAAAAGACGAGGAAAACGCCGAGGAACGTAATATACAGCCTGAAGAGGAAAAACTTTACCAATTCGAAGAGGATATGAAACGAATAGCTGAAATGGAAAAGGAAATAAGTGACAAGATAAGTGACATCAAGAAAGAAGAAGTGGGGGAGCCTTTCGATAAGAAAGATGTCTCCTTCATACACATCAAGAGGGTTCATACGTACCTGAGAAGCGAAGAAGATTCCAGTGAGGATTCGGGAAGCGAAGAGGACCACAGCGACCTGAAACATAAAAATAAAAGATTAAAGATGAAAGAAGACGAAAAGTCGAACGAAGATCCAGGGAGTGTAATAGAGTTTTACGAATGGAAGAAATTGAAAAAATATTACAGCAAAGAAAGCGATTCCAGTAACGAATAAGAAGACAGAGAGGATTATAATAGGTGGAAAAGAAGAAAAATACAAATAATGGAGATGATAAAGAACAACAACCATTGAGCTGAAAAATGCCGAGGAGAGCAGACGGTGGAACGAAAAAACTCAGAGCCAGCGAAAGCCGTGGAAACCGCGAGCAAAGTCAAATCGCTATTGGCCGAGAGGTTTCACTTGAGATCCTGCAGCAAATTAGATGATTCAACGACGAAAGATGAAGAGGAAGATGAAAATTCGGAAAACAACGAAAAAACGCAATTGGAGAAGGATGACCAATCAGAGTCACCGGACGAATTAATGCTCAGTGAGAGTAGTTTGAGTGAAGGAGAAGAGCGACAAATCGCAGATTATCATAATCGAATACAGGAAGTCATAAATAGAAGATTCAATATGAAAAACACGAACAACAATGGCGAACAACGTGAAAACACGAGTAATCAACAGAGGGATAATTCATCCAATCAGCAAAGCCAAAATAACGCCAACGATGATAATCGATAGCAAGAAAATGAGAATTATGAAAGCGAAGGTGAACGAACGATAATATCGTCGGGAGGTTCTACAAGAACATACAACAGTGAGTTAGAAGAAGATCTTTTCATGGACATGGAAGACCCGAGCGAAATAGTGTATTCCGAACAAGAAATAATCAATATAATCAATTATAACGTAAAATTTCGAAGCAATCCAGGACATTAGATATGCGGACCAATCAATGACGAGATGGAGATCGCAACCAGCGACGGTTGTGAGACAGCCTTGACGCGTGTGCGCGACACATTGCGCGGCGAGCGCCACAACGGCAGATTCAATCGAGCGACCGTAGTGAACGGGCGTTTGACGGTTCGTAGCAACAGAGCGAACACCGAGACGATAAACAAAAGTCTGACATACGGATACGCGATGGAGAAAGAAAAAAGAAGAATCGAACGATGGGAGGAGGACATCCAGAGGAGATTGTCAAAATACGAGCAGCAAGACAGGATGCTGAAAGTGCGCAAAGACAGACTCACGGAGATGGAAAGATACGCAAGAGAGTTATCTCCGATCGAGTGCAACACCGAACAATACAACAAGGAGGAAAGAGAAGCGCAAAACAAGTCGATCGAGATAATCAAAAAGTGTGAGTTAGATCGAGGACGTAACGTCTTTGACGTGAGTGAGCATAGAGTGAGAGACGAAGCAGGCAAAGAGATCGCGGAGATCAAGGCCATTTACGTGGTGAGAAATTTAAGGCCGCGTAACGACAAAAGAGAATTTACGTACAGGATCGAGACAACGATAAGCCGTGGAAGACCAGAGGTTAGAATCCAGGCGCAGGAAAGGACCTTGATATCAACCAAGTCAATTACGACGAAGAGCGCGACAGCGACGAAGGAGAGTGCGACGTCGGCGCACAAGGTCATCATGTTACCGCAACAAGCGGAGGTGCAACAACCGCAGCAACAACAAATAATATTCATACCTACGGGAGGAATGGGTACGCTGACCAAGATAGCTTCCAAACCACCGAGCGAACTTCGACCAATAACGAAGAAGCAATCGTCGAGCAGCGAGAAGAGAAAGAGACACAGCGAATCAGAGGCGAGCGAATCGACGAGAAAGCACAGCAAACCAATCATCACATCGATCGTCGAATCCGAGACGCAGCAGAAGCCGAAGAAGAGGAGAGCGGCGAAAAAGGCCGGCAAACAGATTAAAAGGTACTCAATGGAGAGAGACGAATCCGAGGAGCGAGGCCGAGGAAGACGAGATATACTTACCAACCAGAATCGACAAGATCAAACCTTCCGTCTTGAGAAAAATTCTCATGAAGGAAGGACCGAGGAGGATGGAACCGGGTGACAAGTCACTCGTTCCAACGTCGAGTTCTGATTGT